ATGGGATCTGCTTGCAAAAAAGAAGAAACATAAGAAGAATCCTCCATCTATTAAGCATTTATTTTATGCATCATTTCATTGACTCCTTGGAACAAATCAACAAAATAGGTCCTATTAGTAACCTCATTTTATACATAAGGAATTCAAGGAACAGAGGAATGTAGTAATTTGCCCAAGTTTTCCATCCAGTGACTGGCAGAGCTGAGATTCAAACCAGGTCTATTGGACTTTAAAACCATGCACTTCAGTGCTGGTTTCTCATTAAAGTTGAGGACCATAAGACATTTCTAGAAAACGTGGGATGGAGTTATCCTTGCAGGGGATTTGGGTCACTTTACTGTGGGTCTGGTGATTGTATACCAATATCCTAAAGTACACTCATCACCTACAAACATCTTCCTGATTGGAGAGGAAATTTCATAGTTAACTTCATTCCGGGTCTGCATCTTTCAAAGAAGGAAAGAATGTCTGATAGCCATTCAACCCCCGCCATTCCACTTTCCTTCATTTTTCCACTATTGGAAAGTTTCCCACTTTCCTCCAATCATTCCTCTTCTTGAATAGTTCCAAAAGTTTCCCAGTATCATTAGAAAACCAAATTTAGTATCAGAGAAACATTAAAGTGAAGTCTCAATTATGTATTTAAAACATTTCCAAATTTATACTAGGTACTGAGGAAAGAGAGCAAAGAAATACAAAACTTGGCCTCTGCCAACAAGAGTCCTACATCTAGGATGGCCTCTGCCAACAAGAGTCCTACATCAAGAAAGTCTTCATGACCCCTTCAGTTACAATGCTTTAGATTTCCAATTACTTGAACCCCTTTGGTGGATTTATGGATTGCTTTACAAATGATTAGCTTTAGGGCAAAGATCCTGAGACCACCAAAGGGTTAAGAGCCTGTCAAATAAAAATAGCACAATTCTAAAATTATAATTCCAAAGAATAAGTAAATTTGATTGACAAAAAATTGCACACTTGTTTTGTGACCCAATTTTAAACTTGAAAGAAACTATCTTAGCCTGAAACAAAGGCTTGCTTGCTTGCTTGCTTGCTTGAAGGTAATTTATGTGAGAGCAAGGGTTAGGGATAGAGGAATGATACAGAGAATGAGGAAGAGAGAACACAAGGGTACATTACTGCATTAGGCACTCAATAGTTGAATGGTACTCATCCCACAGAACCTTATGAAATCTCAGGACTGCCTACTCCAAAAGATGAAATGAGGAAGTGTTTTACAGATTTCCCATTAGTAAAGAATCTACACTTCTGGATCATGCACATGTGAGTGTGGAGCAAGCTCCCACGGTTATCTCATATTGCTGGAGGCAAGAGATACATGGCAGGGTCCCGAGGAAGGATACCACCACATAGCATACACCTGAATCTGGCAAAATTTCTTTCTAAGAAATTTAGCCTAGGAGATGAAGCTATGGACGTTCGAAGTGGCACCCAAGAGGTGTCCAAGGTAAAAACATTATCAACAGTTTGGGGGTGGGGGAGGCACCTGGCTGGCTCAGTCCACAGAGCATGGGACTCTTGATCTCGGGGTTGTGAGTTCACATCCCACGTTAGGCATAGGGCCTACTCAAAACACAAAAACAAAAACCAGTTTGGTGTACATATGCCCAGACACGGTTTTTTAAGAACATCATTCATTCATTAGTAAACCATTCAAAAACATTTACTAAGCATCAGTCACATGCCAGTCACTGTTTTAGGTTTAAGGGAAAGAGCAGTGACAAGACACATAAGTGCCTTGCTTTTCTTGGAACTTGTCTATTTGGGGAATCACGCATTAAATCATTATAACATAATTACTGAATTATGGTTGTGATAACTGCTATGAAGGACAAGTGTAGGATGATAAACTTTTTAATCATGAGAGTCAAGGAAGGCTTCCCTGAGGAAGTGGCATTTAAACTAAAACTTGCAAGGGGGGCGTAAAAAAAGCAAAGGGTGGGGGAGAGTAACTAGGAAGAGAGGAGGAAGAGTGTAACTAGAAAATGTTGCAGACAGAAAGAAGAGCATGAACAAATACCTTCTGGTGGAAAAACAAACTGTCCTGAGTCAAGAGAGAAAGCCAGTGGGACTGGTGTGGGTGGGTGAAGGGGAGATGTGCAGTAAGCTGAGGCAGGAGAGGTAGGCAGGAGCCAGATTATGTTAGGCCTGGTAAGTCAGAAAAGGGATTTGGATTTTATCTAAGGTCAATAGGAACCTACTGAAGAGTTGTGAAAAGGGGAACAATATGATCAGATTTAGGGTTTTGTTTTTGTTTTGTTTTGTTGTACATAAATGGAGATGTACTTGTAAATACAAGAAGCAGAAACTCATAAACATCACACAGGTATTGAAAAAGTACAGTCTGCAATCATTATGTCCCAGTACAGATATAAACAGGAGGGTTGATGGGGTGGGAGCAGTGGAGGTGGTGCCCTGAGCCTGGACTCTGGCGAGGCATGCATAGTTCACCTTTTTGTTTATTTTTTAGGACTACTTGTTCATCTGATTTGACACCAAGGTAGCATTTGGGTAAGCCAGGATGAAATCCCCATTTAAAACTCCCCCCTCCCCCGGGGTTTTTCAAAAGCTTCAAAAGTTTCTACCAAGACTAACCTCATATGTTGGTGTTGGGGACCACCTACAGGGTGTGAATTAAGAGGTACTAAAAGACCACTCCGGCTCAGTGTAAACTTTCTCTGTCTTTCACTTTCTGCCTAAGATTCTACTGTCACATTTCTGTTCTGCTGAATCTTCAACTGCCAGATATGGAGTGCAGAGCAGCCTACTGGATCTATGCTGCCTTCCTGGAATGGAACTGGGTTTTTGAGTTTTGTTGGGGATGGGAAGGTTTGAAGCTATTTGAGACCACTGGCCAAGCAATGGCATGGAGGTGCATGAGACTGGGCAGTTTATATCGTTTTGTTTTAGGTTGGCTCTGAGATCAACTGGTGTGTGGATATGGACATATGTATAAATGTGTATGGGTTTATACAATCAAGATATATGGGTATATTCATGGCATGTACATGACTTTATAATGTGGGAAGCAATAATGGAAAGGAACACAGGCCCTGGGACTGGGCCAGCCTGGGTTCAGAGCAGAAGCTTTGTAATCCTAGGAAAGTTATGACACCTACCTTATTGGGTGGTTGGGAGGATTTAATAAGATAATCTGTTTCAAGTCTTCGCACGGGTCCGTGGCATACAGTAAGTGCTTCATAAATGTTACTCTCAACGGTTATGTGTGTGTCTTTTTGCAAGTATGTGTGTGCGTGTGCATGTGGTGCAGATTTGGGCATCTAAGGGAGATTGAGTGTGTTTAAGAACAAGAGAGGGGAGGAGGGAGAGTGTTGCCCACCCCTGCAGCAAGAGTTCTGGCAGTGGAGGAGACCTTTCTAGAGGGTGAGGGGACTGCAGGGCAGCTCACAGAGGAGAGGGCTCAGCTTTACCAAGTGGGAAAAAGAGTAAGGGACCACAAAGGGCCTCAGACTACTGGAGGCTTCCTGATGAGCATAGAATTTATAAAAGTAGAAATTAATCGAAGGAGACAGGCAACAGAGTGGATTTGATGTTGTTGAAGCCCCAAAAGCCCTTCATAAAAGAGAGCTAAAAAAGAGTTAAAAATGGTTTCTGAAACTGACATGTACTCAAATCAGGTCTCTGCTCAGAGGACAGATGACTTCATCTGCCCCATCCTAAAGCTCTCCCCTGTTGTGAGCTCCATGCATCTTTGCTTTTTCAGAAATAACATGGAAGAACTTTCTAAAACATGTAATCTACCACCATCTGTTCTCGGGCCTCTTGGTCCCCTCTTAAGATTTTCCCGTGGAGTTGTAGCTAAGTACTTTCTGCATCATAAAGAATTGTCATCCTTAAGTTGAGAGAGGAGATACAGTAAAAAAAAGAACACCAGTTTCTAGTCCCAGTTCTGCCCCTAACTTACTGGGCAACTTCAAGGAAGCGCTTGATCTTTCTGGGCACAGCTGCCTCATCTGCAAAAGAAGTTGATTGGTCAGCTTGGGTCATTATCTTTTGACTTCCTGCCATCCTTGATGAGGTTTACCTCCCTTCAACCATCGCTCCTCCCCTTAAAGCTGTATCACCTTAGGACACGGTAGTACAGAGCATGGAACACCTGTCTCTTGTTAGCTGTGGCTCCTGGAGTGAGTTATTTGACTTCCCTGTGTCTCAATTTCCTCCTTTGCAAATGAGGGTAAAGAAGAGTGTAGTGTATTACGGGCTTGCTAAAAGGATCAAATGAGTTAATACAGGTAAAGTAGAACAGTGCTTAGCGCAGATAAGGGCTACTCTGGGGTTAAGTAATATTATTGCGATTATTTACTTTATTGAATACCTATGTAACTTTACATGAAATGTTTATTGATAAATCAAGACATGAAAGTGTAAGTATTATTTGGGGCTATGAAAAGATTCCAGTAGGCCCTGGACAGGGAGAGAGGCTGGAACCATTCTTTTTCAAAGCCCTTCTGTGCTTTGAGTTTTCAAAGATGTGTTTGTACTACCATGATATGACTTTTTTTTTTTTTTTAAAGAGATTGAGCAAAAAGATCACTAAAGTCTGTCTCAAATCTACAAATTCAAGGATTGACTATGTTTTTTAAGGAGCAGTACTCTTTAGGTGCCTGGCTTATCTTTGTTATAGCTACCGTTAGTATGTTTGACCTTTTCAGCAAGTCCTTATAAAGGTTCAAAATAAACACAGTCACCTTGGCATGTGTATAACCGAGCATCTTTCAACTTCTGGGAAAGGAAACAAAATGAGAAAAGTGAAAATATAAACTATAAATATTTAGCCTTAGGGGCTGGCTTGTATTTTGTCCCTTATAATCTTTTCCCAGAAATCGACTCAGTTACATGGAGGAAAGATCAGTAGCAGAGAATGAACTGAGAGAAAAGCGCTGCAGACTGGCCAGGCAGTGAAAGCGTTAACAGGGCTGAGTAAGGCGATCCTTGAAATGAGTAAGACTCAGAGTTGTTAAAGTTTTCAAAGCGCAGCGGCGGCTCTTGGGGAAAAGGAAGCGAGTAGCAGGGCTTCTGGCCAAGCAGAGGATCGTGCTGAGCTGAACTCAGCTGGGGTTACAAGCTCAAGGTTAGTGTCCCCCCACACATCTCCGCAGAGCTAACGTCTTTGGAGAGTAGTCTCAGGAAGGCAAGGCGCCACCTCTCATCCTCAGCCATCTCAGCCATACCACTTGGCTTATTGCGGGGGGGGGGGGGGGGGGGGGGCATCCGCCCTCCGGCCAAACCTCCCGGGCTGTTCTGCATAGTTTTGGCACTTGTGAGGGACGGGTGACCTCTTCCTGGGAGACTTCTCTCAACTGGAGACTTCTTTTCAGACGTCTACAAGGAAATTGTTTCTGGAATAAGGATGTTTTCAGACATACACAGGCACACGCACACAACACCTGTATGCACTGCTCCATCTTGATTTTTGCAGGTTGTGACCACAATCTAGAATTCCTATCTGTTTCAGGTGAAACCGAGAACACTTGTCAGAGTAACTAAACAGGCTGTGTGACTTCATCTTGTGGGAGGAATATTGTCTCTGAGGCTAGAATAATCAGGGAAGAAAAGGAAGGGAGGGGAGGAAGGTAGAAAGAGGAGAAGAGAGGGAGGGAGAGAAGGAGGGGAAAAAAAGCTTCCAGGCATCCTGGCCTGTACTTAAGGCAAACAATTTTTAAAAATGGGTTTCTCATAGAAATTTTTCTTGTACATTGCTAGAACAAAATAATGGGGGAGGATGCACAGTGAAGGAAATAATTCTACATCTGCATGAGGTTCAGATAAACGTGTCTATGTGAACCTGTCTGCTTGTGCTGCAGATAACAGATAAACCTAGGGGAAGAAGGCCTAGACAGCTTCACAGAAATTGCATTCTGAGGAGGCCTTGATTTGAGAACTGAAACCAATTGTCCGGAGGGGAAAAGGAGCCCCTTTGAGCCCTAGCTGGGAGAGAGGAGTGCGAATGCCACTTCAGCGGGCCAGTTTCGTCTGTTTGCTCTTGCTTGCACACAGAGAAGCAATGAGTAAGTCGTCAGTCACCATGCTGAATGCTTCCTCAGATCCTCCAGCAGCCAAGAGTTGAGCCTTCTACCTGCTAGCACTGAATCAGAATGAGTCATTTGAAACTTGGGTGCTGGAACAAAGTACTTGCAAACTGCCTTATGAGACACTGCCTCCATGTAGGTGGGATATACCTCTCAGAGCAGTCACATTTTTTTCCTCTCTTCCTTTCTCATTCAAACAGGCAAGACTTCTGATGCTCCCCAAAGAGACTGGATTTGCCTGCTTGGCTCAGCTCACCCTACAATGCAGACTTTGCCCCTCCAGGTCAGGACTGGAGTTTTAAAATAAAATGGATGATTTGACGTTACTTGATCTTCTGGAGTGCCCCGTGTGCTTTGAAAAGCTTGATGTCACAGCCAAAGTCCTCCCTTGCCAGCACACCTTCTGCAAACCATGTCTCCAGAGGATTTTCAGGGCCCACAAGGAGCTGAGGTGCCCCGAATGCAGGACCCTGGTGTTTTGCAGCATCGAGGCACTGCCGGCCAACCTGCTGCTCGTGCGTCTTCTAGATGGTGTGCGCTCGGGGCAGAGCTCAGGAAGAGGGGGCTCCTTCCACAGGCCTGGCGTGCTGACTCCGCAGGACAGCAGGAAAAGCAGGACTAACCCCAGAGGTCTGCAGTCCAGCCCTTTCCGGCTGGTGCCTAATATCAGAATCCACATGGACGGGGTAAGAAAGATCTTATTTGTTCGTATCATGTCCATTTGGAGGTTGGATTTGTGTATACCAGCAGCTGGAAGTATTTTCCTGTAGTTATGTTTCAAAGAGTGCTGCCACTGATTTCCCCGGAGATGAGTTTCTGTGGGCAGTGATCATTTTACTGAAACCTGGTGGAATCCTGAGCCTATCTCATCCATCCAGGAATTCGTAGAATTGTGAAAGTCTCCTAGGCTCCCCCTGCTTCTTGTCGAGAAGATCGTAGCACAAAGAAAGCCTTCGTGATTATTTTTCAGATTTCACTTCTGCTGTTTGCGTCCCAACCAGTGCATGGGAAATGCACGGAGGAGGGGAAAAAGAGAGAAAACATATCCAGCTGCCTTTTGCTTTTGAGATCTTTGAGAAGTTAAATGTCAGGTTTTGTTTTAATTTTACCCAACTCCATCTTCCCACCCCCAGTCCTAAAGCGCTAGTGTGACAGTGCTCATTCATGATCCGTTCGAAGCTGTCAAGGTACTTGAGCACCCGAAGACTGTGCGGGAGGAAAGCGTTATCTGTGGGTGGACTGCTTGATAGGAAGGCTGGGCTGTGAAGTCCAACACGTGTACAGGAGCCCTGCAGATGTCTTACTTTACAAAATGAATCAAAGGTACATAAAATGCTCCTCAGCGGCTGCCATGACCACAAGGGCCCAGGAGTGGCGCACAGGAGATCCTAGTCATACTTTTGGTGTTTGGATAATGCGAATCACTCTGTCCAGCCATGTGAATGGATCCTGAGGACTTTATCTGACCTAGCTGCGAGCCTTTTGTGGGAAGCTGTGTTCAGGGCACATCTCGAGAGGAGGACGCAGTCCCTGGGGGTCCAGCAGGATTATGTGCGCTGTCACCCCAGCGGGATTATGTGCACTGACACCCCAGTGTGTCAAAGTAGACAGAGGAAGCTGTGACCTGAGTCGCTGGCATACTTAGGAAGTCAAGGCTGCATTCTGTGAAGTCTCACCTAATTTAGCTAACAGCTTTAAAGCTACCAGCAGAGTCCCCCAACTCCATTGTGAAGAGTAACAGTGGGTGGGAGGGTCTTCTGCGGATTCCTTCCCGCAAAGGAGAATAGGCTTATGATGTGCATTCAGGACACTCTTCTAAAATGTTCCTTTCAATGGCTCACCCCTCCTTCTGTTCAGTGCACCTCCAGGCTGCCCAGGACAGTAGGGGAATGTGGAACCGGTGGAAAATGAGAGCGGGAAGAAGCGGGCATTGGTGTGATTTCTTCACTGCAGACTTTTTATCGCCATTGTGCTCGTGTGTGTGACCACATTCCAGAAAAGGGCTGGGCACCCTTCTTTCAGGCTTCCTGTTAGCCCAAGGTCTAGTCATCAATCAGAATCCACAGGCCTGGAAAAGGCCGGGTGGGGGTAGGGCAGCAAACTTCTCTCAAGTGCCCTGTTTGGAGAGAATAGGGCTCTGAGGTCAGCAAATCCTCATTTGAATTTCTAAGACCCAGCAACCTCCCCCTCCCCCACCCAGCAAAGTCTGACTTGCCTCCAGGTGGAGTGTCTTCACTCACTACTAAGAAAGTGTTGCCAGACTGGGAGGAGGCCAGTCCCTAACATCTTTGAATGTTTTTGTTCAGGTTTTTATCTTTTTTGATGTGGCTGTGTTAAGAAAAGGTAGCAACGAAATGTATCCACGGCTACCAAGTTTTCGAACTGTAGAAGATTCCAGGCGCCTCCTGGCATAGGGAGCTGTGGGACCGAGAGGTGGTGATATGTAAGAGACAGCCGGTAAGATACTGCATGTCCCTGGAACCCTTTCACAAGGACTTGTAACACCAGACAAAGGCGCCAGTGACGGGGTCGTGCCCATCATCCAAGCCACACTGGAACAAGTCCTTGTCAGGAGGCTGCAACACAGAAGCGGGCTGGAGGGCCACCGCTTTCAGGCAGGCCATGCCTTCGTAAAGACATTCCGCCAGAGAGCAGAGCTGGCGGCCTCCCCCAACCACCCCCGTTCCCTTCGTTTTCTGAGGCATCCTTATTTGCAGTGGCTCATCTCATCCCTTTTGCCTTCCCTCCATGGGGCTGTGAGTTACTAACCCTCCTGGATGTTAGTATGGCTGCCATTCTGCAGCCTGTCTCCGCTTCCAAGAACGTGGCCGTCTGTCCTGTAAGGGCACAAGCAGCCATGCATCCCTCAGCTAAGAGAACCGAGTATTGCCTGGGCTGCCACACTGGCCTAAGAGTTAGAGGAGGCCCTCGCATCCTCAGGCAGATCTTCACCAAGTTACTTGCCCTCCCTGCCTCCTCACTTTACCCAATGTAGTCAGCAGCTAGTAATACTTGCTACCCACCTTCCTCCAGGATAGTGTGAAAACTATCTTTGCAACACTCTCTTAGTGCCTTAGAAAACACATGCCTTGTAAATGCAGAGCATCATCATTATCATTAATTTAAACCTGCTATATGACTTCGGACAAGCCACTTAAGTTTGCTGGGTCTCAATTTAAAATTCTATAAAATCGGAAAATATATTGTAAAAACAGAGAGCCATTGTGAAGCTTAACTAATTAGTGTTAAGTGTTAACTAATAGCACTTTGAGATCCTTAGATGAAAGGCATTTGGAAGATCATTATCATAGTAAACATTGTTATTGACTGTTTATTGTGCCCTGCCATGCACAAGGAAGTCCACAAAACACAGAAGGACTGATAGCCCTTGCAGGAGAGTGTAATAGGTGTTATTATTGAACTTGAGTCTGGGATGAGTCCAGCCCAGGATAATACTAAGTATAAAGGACTCCCCTAAGAGGGCATAAATAACCTGTTGTCGCAGGGTACCATTTTGTAAAACACCTCTTCCAGAGGCCATGATGTTAACCTGACACTCTGAAAGAGTTCACTTAACTTCCTGTGAGTTCGTGAAGCCCAAAGTCTGTTCTGCTCACCTAGGCTCATCTAATAAACGAGCTCATCGGGATTTTCTGGTGGCTCAAAGAGGCCTGGCGCTTCTCATGCCAGCCAGTATGCCGGGTGGAACCTGTTGTCACACTTCATGGTGCCAGCCCAAGAGAGAAAAAACAGTCCATTGTGCCTACTTGTCTAAAACCCTCCCAAGCCGATTGGGTAAAAAGAAAACTTGAGAAGTGGCTGTAGGTTTCTACAGCATGCAGTTATTTCAAACCAACAGGCGAGATCAGCAGAGTCTTGGACAGCCACTGGCTGTGCAGACCCCACTCGTTCTTACTGCTTCCCTCACTGCAGTCAGGCCAAAGGAACTTCGCAAGCCTTCAAGAAGATAACAGCCTCCTGAATAGTTGAGCTCGCTTCCTCCTCACTGTGTGAATTTTTAGAAATTAAGACAGGCAGGAAAGCAGTGAAGCTTGCAAGCTGAGGTTTGAAAAATAAAAGATTTCAAATCCCACTACCGCTGCTCCATAGTTGTATGCTTTGGGTGAGCCCCTTAAACCTCAGGGCCTCAATTCCCCATCCGCGAATTGAAGATAATAGTAGTGCCTACTTCAGAGGGTTGCTGGGAGAAATAAATGAGATGATTCATGTCAATTAGCTCTTAGCACGGGGACTGGCTCCTACTCAGTAAATGTTAGCTGGTATTGTTATTGAAGTGACTCAGTACTTCTCACTCTCAATTGCACGCCCTCTTTCACGCGCTTGTTAATGGAGTGTCATCCAAAGATGGTCCCGGGTACCCTGATTTCTGGCCTGTTTGCTTTTTCTCCACATGATCCATGGCTATGATTCAGATGTGTGATTCTTCCCAGCTTGCACTGGCTTGGCCGCCCACTTCCAAGACCCTTAAGGAGCTAGGAGCTGATTCCAGAAGAAAACTTGCTAGCAACCTTCACTTCCCCAAATAACAAGCTCAAATGAACCCCTCATGTAGGTCAAGAACCTTCCACTCCGCGTCTGTGATTCTTCTGTAACTTCTCTAGTTTTCCTTTCTCCTGACTCTATCCCCAACACAAATGTGTCTAGCCCCAGGTCTTGCAGGGCCGGACTTTCTCCCTTCTTTGTTATACATCATGCCAACCACACACATTTCTGTCTCACTTGCCCCAGCTCAGCGAAAACACACCTGCTGCCTCCAGCACACAGACCAGGTGGCCGTGTCCTAGAAACTTCTTCAGCTGGTGTTGCAAGCACGTGAGCGGGCTAGAAATCAGGTCAGAAAACACATGAGGGACTTGAGGCTGAGTAGAAACCAGACAGTATCCATCTCCTTTTCTGGGTCTCAGCTGCTGTGTCTGTGACAGAGACAGTGGTTTCTGCAGAATTTGCAAGGGGCCTAAAACTATCCCAAGCTCCTGAAAACAGCAAGCAGGTGCCACTTGGGTCAGCAAGGACCGCATGTGACAGGTGGAGGAAGACATAAAGGCAGGAGCTGAGGTGGAGAAGTCAGGAGACCCAGATGGTTCTCCACCTTCACACACATTTGCAAATCTTTTTAAAAACCAGATGGCGCCAAATTGGCTCTGCCCCCAACCTCTCTCTGTGTACATCCTTCCTAGTTACGATCCCTTCCCTTTTATTACTTACCATAATGTTAAGGATATGTCATCAGATGGAGCTGGGTTTGTGCTGGGATTCAATTATTTGCCTTAGGCAGGTCACTTAACCTCTCTTACCCCTGGTTTCCATATTTGTATAATGGAGATAATAATGGTGTGCCTCTATCATGAGGCTATTGTAAGATTAAAATGAGATAATGTATGTCAAAAGCTGAGTACAAATGCCTGGCACATCACAGATGCTGATAAATGTTAGCAACAGAAGATAACAAAACAGTAACAGTGGAGGAGAGAGCCTGCTGGCATGGGATTTGGAGTTCTTCGCACCCACACATAACCATGCAGAGACTTCCATTAAGAAATGAAGCAAAGGGGATAGCGAAAGGAAGGGGAGTTTTAAAAAGACAAGACTATAGTGATGGAAAATGATGGTTCTGAGTGGTTGCTAGAGATTATGGTGTGAGAGAGGATGTGACTAGAAAGGGTCA